TATATATATATATATATATATATATTTAGTATAAAAGGCTCAAACACTAATATTCCATGGTTATAATTTATTACATTGGAATCGTAATCACGATCTAATTCATCATACCTACAAATTATAGACATTTAAGGAGATTTGTAGAGATTCCATAGTTGATTTTGTTTAGGTTAAGTTTCAACTGTTTGATGTATATAGCTTCAAGCTATATACATCAAACCTTGAAGCTATATACTTAATACTTCTCGAATTCACTCTCGCGTGGTCATGTGTGACGTCATGAGCTGCGGTGCGATTTCGCTTCTAGCGTCTTATATACACGTGTTTATCGTTGCTTAGAAATCATCCATGTAAACAATAACAGACTATCATTACTGTCTTGTCCGTATATTGCTTAATATATTGTACAGTATTTGCCATCTTTGATAATGGCTTATGTAAGCCGAAAGCTTAGATTGAATTAAAAAATATGGATCAATATTGTGATTTTCTTTCGTCGTGTAATGATAATGTTATTAAACTTATCAGACGTTATGAAAAGAATTTACATAAAATAAATAGACAACACTTGTCTATATTATTTAATGAAACATGTATGAATATATATATATATATATATATATATATATATATATATATATATATATGAAGAAAAATATACAGAAAAATATACAAAAATCTTAATAAACAAAAATCTTAATATGCATTATTACAGCATTTTAAAATTTTTTTTTAATTGTATATTTTCTTCATACTATCGGATTTATATCCATATATTTTTATATATATATATATATATATATATATATATATATATACAATTGCGTGCAAGTAAACCTGGACAACAACAACAACAACAATAATAATACAAATAATGCTAATAATAATAATAACGTAAAACTATAGAATTCAAAAAGAAGGAGAAAAATATATCTAGAGCAGAAATATTTTACATTAGTGATTTCAAAAATTAAGAAAACACGGATCTTAAAGATCAAGACGCATTCCAAGCAAAATCTGCCATGGTTAATCGTCAAGGCTTTCGGTGAATTTGGTGTCACGGAAAGAGGAAAGGATCGAGGAATCTCTTAAAGTTTCATGGGTAGAATAAAACTCTACATTTGGAATATGGAGAAAATGAGAATGGCTCAACTCTGTCGATATATCATGGCGCATCGTAGCCATAAACGCGTCTAAGTAGCCATGGAAATAGCGATTGCCCAACTCCTAATTATCCTAAACTCCTTGTTAAATGTAACTGTAAAATGCTGTTATCCTTATTGTATTCTTGAAAAGGGACCACACATTATTGATACAAACATATGCCTATAAATTTTAAATGGAAGTGTAGTGAAAGACAATCGATATAATTTTATTTTAGAACATGTGAAAAAAGTTGTCGGCTGCTTCGAAATTCGATGAACATGAGAATTATAATTTAATTGATGAAATATTTATTTACATAAAATTTCTTTTATCGGAGGATGTGAAGGAAAAATTAAAATTTTCCATAAAACACGTCGATACAAACTAATTAATTCATTCCCAACCGCCTCAAATGCGGCTTGGGTGAATTGTGTCAATTTTTCCGCTAGCTGTTCCCAATTATGGTAGCCGCCTATTTTCAATAAAAGAAGTTTTGCACGCATAGTATAATGGAGGACAGATTGACTGGAACACAAGCTGACACGCAGACAGTTATAGATTGTCAAACAAGAATAGACAAGGCTAAAAGATGGATGAATGGAAAGAGTGATCTATCTATCTATCTATCTATCTATCTATCTATCTATCTCGACTCTGTTTAAATCTATCTTGACTCTGTTCAAATCTATCTATCTATCTATCTATCTATCTATCTATCTATCTATCTATCTATCTATCTATCTCGACTCTGTTCAAATCTATCTATCTATCTATCTATCTATCTATCTATCTATCTATCTATCTATCTATCTATCTCCACTCTGTTCAAATCTATCTATCTATCTATCTATCTATCTATCTATCTATCTATCTATCTATCTATCTATTCGAAAGAATGAACCCAATAGGCCTTTGAGAGGAACATGATTAATCAGATCTCGTCGACGGCCACTACAAAATCACAAACAAAGAACGCTACCAAATAACAGAAACCATATTATATGGAGACATTCAGCAGAAGCAACAACTAAAATGGATAGCACATGTAACTCGATGAGAAAGTAATGACATGTTATCTTTCAACGCTACTTTAAACATTGGTTGAGGTGGGAAAGCCTCATCAGTATCCGAAAGACTTGAGAAACCTATTTTCCAGAAAAAATTGTTTTTAGAGAAAGATTTTATAAATTTCTACAGAAAGTAATGCGACCTGTTCAGTCAGTGAATACCGAATGTTTCCTTATAAGGAAAAACAGCACTTGATGACAGAAACATTGTTAGAGCTTTGAGGAAAAACGCGAAAACAAGTCAGTGACATTATCAACAGACTCCAGAGGGCAGAGGTGAAGGTTTCACAATCCACCGTTCGAAGATTTTGAGAGTAGAAATATAAAGACCATGCCACAAGATGCAAACCACTCATCAATAGTAAGAATGGGAAAACCAGAGTGAAATTTGCAAGGAAGCACAGAGATGAACGACAAAAGTTTTGAAAGTTTTATGAACTGAGTAGACCAGTATTAATCTCTACTAAAGTGATGTAAAGGCCAACATGTAGAGAAAGAAAGGATCTGCTTATGATCCAAAGCATAAAAGCTTATCTGTGAAGCAAGGTGGAGTCAGTGTCTTGGCTTGGGTTTGCATGGCTGCTTCCGGAATAGATTAATTCATATTTATTGAATATGTAACCTATGATGGTAGCAGTAGAATGAATTTAGAAGTCTACAGAAATATTTTGTCTGACAATTTACAGAGAAATGCATCCAAACTACTCGGGAGGAAGTTTATCATGCAGTAGGACAATAATCCAAAACATACTGTCAACGCAACTAAGGACTTCATCGGGGGTAAAAAAAAATGAACAGTTTTAGGCTGGCCAAGTCAATAACCAGACCATATCCCAATAGAGTATGCATTTCATCTCCTGAAGAAGAGACTGAAGGAAGAAACCCTCCGAAACAAATAAGAACTGAGTCTGCGTTAAAAATCTGGAAAAGCATCACAAATGAAGAATGCAAGAATTTGGTGACGTCACTGGGTCGCAGTATAGATGCAGTTATCACAAGCATGTTTTATGCAACTAAATATTAAATGTTATTTACTTTAAGACTATCTGTTCATTTACTTTTGCTCACCTAAAAATTAGGTGATCTGATACAAAAGGTGTTATGTCCCAAGCTGTTTAAAACATCGAAATGTAAATACCAGGAAATAAAAGCTGAAATTCTAAACTCTTGTTTCATATTTATCTTTTGATCTTAAGCCCAAATGTCTTCAGTGAATAAACAAAAACAAAGGAATTGGTCCCTTCTAAAGTCTATTTCAACTCTATACTTCTAACATCTCCGCCTAAACTCTGAAATAATATTTACTATTTACGTTTTCTTCAATAGTAGATAGGTTCGAACTCTTCCCCGATCTTTTGAACAGAAGTAGAGTTTTTTTGCTTACAATTGGGTTTCTAGTTCATTCGAAAGTCTTTCCATTTTTTTCCACGCCATTATAGTGACATTAACACCTTACTTGGGGTGAATTGATTCAAAAAGAAAAATGTAGAGGTTTGTCTCTTGTTTCCTGTTTAGCATTGGGTTTCTAGTTCATTCGAAAGTCTTTCCATTCTTTTCCATTCCAAGTAGCCCCTTGCATTACAGTGACATTAACTCTCTACTTGGGGGTGAATTGATTAAAAAAAAAGAAAGAAAAAAGAAGCAAGTCTTCCGCCCGGCGATGTTATGTCATCATCAATCTAGACATAATGCTTGTATTCCAATCGCTTGCGCAGATTTAGTCTGCAGCAGGTCGAAATTCGCTGTAGTTATCATCTCTCTGTTGAACACCCAACTAAGAATCATGGCGTTTCAAGCATGATTCAGTACCCGTGGCGATGAACTAAGTTTTTGTGGCTGTTAACCACATTAAATTGAAATCTGTACCTTGTCTTGATTTTTCGTCCGACACATTGCACTAAGAACAAGTTTCCAGCGATCATATTTGGTCTCCCCATCGTTCTAATTCTGGCCTCTACACTTCTAAGACTTTTTTTTCCCCATTTTCTAGACTTGTTGTATATTGGAGCCCAATTGTGCTAGATAACTGTTGACCATACAATTAAGTCTTGCTTTTAATCTTGCTAGATGTCTAACTACCCTCCTCATCAGAAAAGCCTATTGGAGGAGCCGGTTTAGTCACCGATAACCCGACAATGTGACAGGGAGTATTAGGTCACATGGTTCCAGCAACTCTCCTAGATTGAACCGACATAAGAATAAACAATAAAAGAATCGATAAACATTGTCTAATGCTTAAAAATAAGTGGTTCTTCAGCTTTTCTTCCCACCAACGTAACCTTTTAGATATTTGTGTGAGTTTGCGCTTACTTCGTTAAAATTGCACTGGTAATTGAAGCAAAGTTATCGCAACAGAGTTTTTGTTGCATTATAGTATCGTCACTCACCGGAAGTAAGTTCTGGCAGGAAGAGACAAGAAGCCGTCTCCGTGTCAGACTATAGAAGAAGCCGGACTTAAAATTTGCAGTAGTTTGCTTCATAAACTTATTGCAATTGATTAAAATACTTCTGAAAATGGGATTGGTTCGTTTTGTGCAGCTTATCAACCCATTCCAGGTTACTTAAAAGCAGAATATATTTTTGGACTATAAGAATTTTTTTATATATAATAACTGTTTAATAATACAAGTCTGACAAATTAACCTATAGCTGGGGGAGAAGATGTGGATTCATATCGTTCTCTAGGGTATTTGCGCATAAGTGAATGTAACGACCTCAACGAGAATTGAAACTCAGTTCTCCGATTAACAATTCTAAGCCATTATCCAATACACCACCCGCACATGCAAGCTTACAGTACCTGTTATTCTCAAGCGGTCAGTCATCTAAGTACTGACTAGGCTCGAGGTTTTGTAACTTCGGGGATCATACGGAAACCGGTGTTTCAACGTGATATGGCCGTAAGCTTTGAAAATGTAAATATATATAGCAAAAAAGATAGAAATGCATAATCTGGTTCCAACGAGTGAAATCATGTATTTAAAATTATAGCGCTTCGACTTCATAAGGCTCCTGACCACTTATTGTCCCAAACGCTGATACTGGGAATCATTGCCTTTAAATACTGACCCGGCTCAGTATAGAAAAACATTTTTTAATACATTAATTAACTCGGCAAATTTTGCTGTTGTTAGCGTCATCCGTATCGAGTGAATCGCGTTGAAATAACAAATCTTCAAATTTTCTAGCTATTTAATGTAAACGAAAAAAATAGCATAGCACGGAAAATGGTGCCTTAGTCCTCGTCGAAGTACTACGCTTGGGATCATACAGATTTATTCTAGTGTTTCCCCCACTTTTCAAAACAACAAGTAAGGTTCTCTATCGGGATCACCATCAGCTGCTGCGCGTTCTCCTTAATCTCATCCCCGGCATTTCAGCAGCGATTTTTGCTTTAAGTAAAACAAGAAGTTCCAGAGTGCTATATCTGGACTCTGTGATAATGATAACAGTGAAATTAGCCGTTTCCATACAGGCAACATTCAGCATTCATTGGACAAACAGTTAGCGTCAATGTCGATTAAAATGTATCTCTTTAAACAGTTTTTCAAATCCACTATCATCACCTTTTTCAGTATTTTCTTCCAAACCTTGTTTAAGGACGTTTTTTTTAATCATTACACTCCCTAACAAGGCAATAAAGCCACTAAGATGGAAGGAAGGTTACTGAGTGTCAGAAAATAAGAAAAATTATTAAGAAATAATATAAAAATTATTAAGAAATAATATAAAATTATTAAGAAATAATATAAAATTATTAAGAAATAATTATAAGAAAATATTAAAGAGAGAGCACAATGAAAGAAAAGGGATAAAAATACAGAAGATAACGATTGACATTGCATTTAATTTTTTGAAGTTGATTGGAAAGCAAAATGTCGGAAGGGAGTTCCACAAAGAAGTGTGGAAAGTCAACATCTTAATTATATAGGTTCGCTCATCGCCCTGTTCACACTCCCCACCCCGTCTTTGGAAAAGGAATAAAGGTTTATCCCTTGTTTCCTGTTTAGGATTAGGTTTCCGGTTCCCTCTCGTAAAGGTTTTTAATTCTCTTTCATTTCCAGTAATCCCTTGCTCCTTAGTGGCTTTATTGCCTTGGTTGGGTGTGAAATGATTAAAAAATGTCATTATTTTTTTTTCTTCTAGTTACATATGCTACCCATTTTTGCTTTTGCTGTTGGATGTCTTCAAGTAATGTGTTTTTTTATTATTTGGTAAAATTCTTTATTTGCGATTCTGTGGCGCATTTCTTTCGGTTTTCATAAAAGATGTCAAGGAAAGAGCCGACGTTTTTTTTTTTTGTTTTTTTAACCAAAAAGTCCAAACGAATCTACTCCCTTGGTCATCGTGTATGTTATAGCCAAACGGTACAAGCAAGATCGGTGGAATCTTACTAACTAGAACCACTACATCAAGGCTGCGTAACCCGTTCAAGAAGAGATTCTAAATCGATGGATACTTTCCGGACAGACCAGGCCAACACCGAATAGATGTTTCTGGCATTATCACATACATTGTCACATTTTAACAAATAACAAGCCAAAGATTCAATTATTTACCTCATCGCTCCAATAACCTTGAAGAGAAAAAAAAATCAACCCTTAAAAAATTGCCTCGCTTTCATAACCTAATGATTCTGTTGATTAATATTAATTTAGCAAATGTAATTAACAAACGGCTTGGCTTATTAGTGACTCATTAAATGTTTGTCGCTTTAAATATTGTAGGATCATAAAGAAGAAAAGATAAGAGAGATGTCTGCATATAATTTAATGCCTGTTAGATTTATTAGTTGCTGTAATATCCTGGGTAGGATTTATTAAACGAATACGACAAAACTTTTAACATTGTCATACATACATACATACATACATACATACATACATACATATAAGTCCTGTAACCCGATAGAATCGTCGTTCTGGGTACGATATTCGACAACAAAGCCTCTGATCGGGAGGTTTTGAGGAGCATGTAACCACCTCTTAATTGATATTGTTCTCAGGTCCACCATATCCCAGGGTGGTAACACCTGTTAGGGTCCCAGATACTGGAAAATAGCGAATCCCCAAACTGGGGTTAAAACATAAAAATATAAAAATCAATTAGAAAAAAATTACCAGCAGTACATTTTTATAGTAAAAAAATCTAAAAAAAATTACCAACAATATATTACTTGAAAAAAAACTTAGAAGCAATATATTTTTTGAAAAAAAAATCAGTCAGTCAGTTATGTGCTATGCGTGATACACGTTTAGGCGATCATGTATCTTTCGATACATGACTGACGTGGCAGATTTTTCCCGCAGTATATTTCTGGGGTAGACCAGTTGCCATCCAAGGCTATAGAATTCGGTCTGTCCTGCTATGTAGAGAAGAAGAGGATTCATACCTTTTACAAGGGTATTAGCACGTAAATGAATGTAATGGATTCGACTGGAATTCGAACTCGGCTCTCCAATTTTTCAATCCGAGCCGCTATCATTACATCACCGTTACCAAAGCATAATAAGATAAAATTTTGGCATTAAATGACCCATAAGGAGTTGATATGCCGTTAAACAAACCAAACCGTTAGGACCGTAGAGGAACCACACATACTACAGCCGTAAGTAGCGATAGTGTTTACCTGATGGAGCCGAACCCTCTCCAGGCTGGTTTGAATTCAGAGTTGTCCTTCTTTTAGACCCGTTACCAACAAAAGACTATAGGACCCTTTCTGTCCTGCTATTTACCCCAAATTAGCAGAGACGGGGTAAAAGAGATGGATGCTTCCCTGGCCACTACAATCTTGGTCTTTTCAAGTCCAGTTGTCAACTGATATCTATCCTACGCGTTCTCATAATAGACATTTCTTACTTGCTCCTTCCTCCATCATTACAACAATTTTACTCAGTAATCCTCTACCTTGAGTAGCCCTTGGATCTTATATTGGGTCAACTAAAAGTAAAAAAAAATGATACTCTCAGCATCATTTTATGAAACCACATTTCTGTAATCAGTATTATAAGACATAGATGGCAACCTACTGAAAATATTCAATTCAAACGTTGAAAAATAGTGAATTATGGTAGTAAGTTTGATACATAATTTTCAGTTTTTAAACAAATTCTGATGTGCGGTGATTTAATAAGATGATGCGGTGTGTGTGGTGGAATTATAAGGTTGTTCCCTTCTGTGTGCTTCGTCTGGAGAAACAAACGATTGATTCGAGTACTACCAGAACTAGATCAATTGAAGCCAGAAATCGGTGAAAAGATTCATTCCTCACTTAGTCAAGTTAAAAGGCCTATTATTTCATCAGGATAGTATTGGATAGGCAGCTAGGTCTAATTATTTTAGTAGAACTAGCGAGATATAATCGTATCTTCTATGCTAATAATTTTTTTCTCCCGTACTTCTTCCTTGTACGATCTCTGAAGTTAAGCAACGTCGAGCCTGGTCAGTACCTAGATGGGTGACCGCTTGGGAATACCAGGTGCTGTAAGCTTGAATGTGCATGTTGTGCAATGGCTAATCGGAGAGCCGAGTTCCAATTCCAGTGGGGTTCGTTCTATTCACTTAGGCGGAAATACCTTTAGGAAGGGCATGAATCCACCATTTCTCCTCCTCCGCTATGGGTTAATCAGTAACACTTGTATCACTAAATCATTATTATCTAACAAGAAAGAAGTGTTTTCTGGCTTTAAATGACCTGCAAAGGGTTGATAACCCACAGGAAACGAATCAATCATGATCAGCTTATGGAACTCTCTTCCGGCCTCTTGCTTTCCAACGAAATTTTATCTTCAAAAATTTAAATGCAATGTCAATCGTTATCACCTGCCTTCTTACTTCCTGTTCTCTCTACTTAATAATTTTTTTATTTTTTCGCATATTCTTTCACTCTCAGTAACACCCTTGCGTCTTAGAGGCTTTATTGCCTTTCTTGGGGTGAAATGATTGAAAAAAAAAAAGTTACCACTAGATTGTAATTTATCTTTATTACAGTTTGATAAAGGAATTTTTATTCGTCTGAAGTATTTACTTGATATTACTTTTTCAGATAACATTTTATTCTGGTATTTACGGAAGTCACTCCCTTGAAATAATTGCAAAGGGCATGTAGAATATGTCTTAGTTGAGAGATGATAAAATGATGAAGTTGCTTTAAAAATGGCAGGAGATAGTGAAACGTTAAATATGTTAAATAATATCGAATATTAAAAGATAATAAACATTTTTTTTCGTTCTAGTAAATAAGAAAACAAACATAAAGTTGTTTCCATATATTCCCAGGTCGGTGGGCACCTCGAGATGGTGTAATGGTTAGTGTTGTGGCCTGTTTAGGAGCCAGAAAGAAAGACACAGAAGACGAAGGTAGGTTGAGCAAATGTATTGAAATAATAGATATATACAAATCAAGAGTGTTAGTAATAAATAGATAGAGGTGGACGTCCGAACGGTAGGTTAGCACTGTGTCTACGGTATATATTTAACAGTCTCGCCACGAGGGTTGTATGTGGCACAAGGCCGAGTTTACCGTGGGCTCGGCTAAAAATATTCCCTTAGTACTCGCATAAGCGGGTTCGGGATCTGCCTACCTCCCCGGACGAAACTCTGCCCTTCGGCAAAGCTTCGTCCGGGTTCCGCTCTGCCAAAGCAGAGAGTTCGACAGAAGTCGCACACAGTCAGAGACTGTGTCTACGCAGTATTAACTCCTTCTCCCACTTGGACGAGATGTGACACAAGGTCTTTTGTAGGGACTCGGGTCTATACGCCTGGGACAAGGACAAAAATTGCCCTCAGTCTCCGCAACCGTCGGTTGCGCTGGGCTCGGTGCGAGCACCGATCCCTCCCGCTGGGGCAATGGGAGGGTGCGGCCTCGGGCAGCTGCTCCCCAGGGCTGGACACCAGACTGCATC